CTTAAAGGGACACTAAACTGAAGGGGTCTGGGTGCATAGTCCCAGGTTCACTATGAAAAGTTAATTATTGCAGTTTTTGATAAACTGCAATAACTACCTTTGAGGGTCAACTCAACCTTTAGTGGCTGTCTACCAGACCACCACTAGAGGGACTTCAGGGTCATTTGGCTACCTTTGGTAGCTTGACCCCGGATGTCCTCACGCTATGCATGAGGACATCCATCGTCACCTGAAACCCCAGAGGAAGGCAATGTAAAATGCTTTGCTATGGAGTAAGGAAGGAGCAGAGATCAAGCCAGTGCTAAGGGACATCCGTGCTGGGCACAGGTGGGGGCTTGATGCAGGGAGGCACTGTAGGGAGCTATAGTGCTAGGAAAACAACATTGTTTACCTGGCACTATAGTTTCCCTTTAAGGGACACCCTGTCACCCTTGATAGATAGTTAGAAACTGAACTAAAAGTACGAAATGAAATAGTATTCGGGAATAAAATGTGTACTCTAAAAATATACATTCCGTGTAAATGCAAAATACATGAAAACAAAGCATGCCTCGTTTGTCATCACCTTTATTCAGTAAAAACTACCGGAGGCACACACGACTAAACAGAGAATCATTATGGTTTCAGTCACCTGGTCTTTTTCAGGGTACACTCCTGCCCGGAGGAATGATGCTTTCCAGCTGTCTACATCTTCCTGGGTATCGCAGGCCAGCTCGATCTGCCGTAGGTCTTTATACACGTTCCTGGATCCAGGAGCAGACATAGAAAAGGTTTTGCAAGCTAAGGAGATGCATATAAACAACAGACTCCCTCTCCAAAACCTATAGTGAGTAGGATTTAGAACCCACTGGATAAGACTCAGATGGAGTTAAGAACCTTTATAGAAATTCATTTTCACAGCAAACAAAAGCCAACTGACTCATCTAAGTGTCCCTGAATGTACTTCTCAAATTTCTCTTCCGGTCTTTACAGATAACCCTCCTGATCTACCATAAATATACGGTCTGCACATCTCAAAATTTCTCTTATTATGTCTTAGTAAGCAGACTTCGAGTCATTCTTTTAGCTTATTCTTTGAACAATTTGTGCTGTGCTATCTTTCAAAATTAATCTCTTAAGAACTGGGCACATTATTCTAGCTGGGCTTTGAAAACAGAATCAACAACTCATTTTCCAATAACTAAACATTTCTATAATATTCTAAAGTATTTAGCAATTTCTTAAAAAGACAATAGACACCAAAACTACTACAGCTTTATGTCTGTCCCTACAGGATTTTCACAGAAAAAGCAGTGTTTACATTGCTGCCTATTAAAACCTCCAGTGGCAGTCACTTAGACGTTGAATGCTCCCCGTAGAAATGCATTGATTCGATGCTGATTGGCGCTGTGTTTTGTTGTGCATTTGCAGTTACCTCCTGAAGCGATCTTCAAGACTGATTATCCCAGCCATGGAGGCAGGGCCAGCCGCAGCAAGACTGGCACAGCATGGGAGAAAAGGTTGCATTGATGCAATTTGGGCCGGAACCTAAATAGTTACTTTAACACTATACTCTCGGGAATCCTTTTTAGCATTCCTGACACCAGTGTTTCTTTAAAAGAACACTATAGGGTAAGGAACACAAACATGTATTCCTGACCCTATAGTGTTAAAACAACCATCAAGCCCCCCTGCCCCCTAATTATAGTAAAAATCTTACTTTTATTGCAGTCTGCTGCTGCTGGATCAGCCCCTGATCTGCCTGCTTGGCTGACATCACAAGTGATTCTCTCAGCCAATCACAATATTTTCACATTGGATTGGCCGAGCTTGTCAAGGAGGCAGTTCAAGGGCAAATCCAGCACAAGTCAAATACAGCCCTGGCCAACAACATTTCCACATAGCGATGCATTGAATCAATGTATCTCTACGAGGAAAGTAAAGTGTCTTGGCTCATTGAAGTGGTCTGGGTGCTGTACCAGACAGCCAGTGGGGGCACTTCCGGAATCGAAACGGACCTTTGGCCCGTTATATCACGCTGGACATCCTTATGCTCTGCACGAGGACCTCCAGCATCAGATTTTCTCCAAAGGAAAGCATTAAAAACACTTTCCTATGGGGAGGTCTAATGCGCGTGCGCACATTTCTACGCATGCGCATTAGGTCTCCCCTGCCGGCTTATGTCGGCGGGGGAAGAGCCTGACCCAGCGCCGAGGGATATTGGTGCTGGATTCAGGTAACTGGCTGAAGGTGTTTTAACCCTTTTGGCCCCGTGGGAGGGGGGGTTGGGGGAACCTATTAAACCTATAGTGCCAGGAAAACGGCTTTATTTTAAGTTGCTTTAAGTTCGACTGGACTGCTTAGGATTAAATTTGAAATTCACTTTGAATTCTCAGTTTAGTGTAGGACTTATCCGTGCTTAGTGAATAATTGCCATTTTCTGTGCTAAACGCAATGCTTTGCAATTCTTGATATTGAATCTGAGAGTTCATAAACGCTACATTAATTACACTAGAATTTCTAAAGGAACACACCAGGCAGCATGCAAAGTTGTGCTGGTGTGTTTTTACCTGTTCAGCTAGTTTGGGCTGCAAAATGAGTAATAACTGTCAGTTCATCACAATTCACAATTTAGTGAATAATTCCCAATAGCTTATCTTCCTATTAAACCAAAAAGATTCACTGCGTAGTAGAAAATTATTACTTTTAAGCAAATTACTTGCTTTCTGAATTAAATACCAACTATCATGGTACCATTCAGCTATTGTAATATATTACACTCACAAGGTAATTGGCGCAGCCTCCCCCCCTTGGTAGCTCTCAGACAGGTCATGCAAGCGCTGGTTGCTTACCGCTGCTCTGTGTTGAAGATGGCAAAGATGTGCTTCGTAGACATAAATCCCTTTTCTATATCTCTAATCTTCAAGTTGTCGAGGGGTAACATGTACTTCTTCTCTTTCTCCTGCAGTGGGCAATAAAGAGCACAGTCTGATATGATGTAGGGAGAGGTACCTATAGATATTAGGCTTCCCGTAACGGTCACCTTTGTTACCAACATAGTCACTATTACCATTTTGTGTGCACAAGACAGCAAAGGCAGTCACCTCTCTGAGGGGCCTATAATTACAAAAACTCTGGTACCAGTGAATATGCAACACCAACAAGATTACACTAACCTGTGACGAAAAAAATAATTAAAATCAACCATGTTTCCAGCTAGGCTATTTGGCATAAAATGTACATTATAGTAAATGGCCCTGAGACACACGTCAATCTAGTTTCTGAAACCATTTTGAACCCTAGAACGGCACAGTTCAGTGGTTATTACTCAGGCTAGCAACTGTTGAAACCTGAAAGTAAAAGGTTTTCTCCCCAGACGAGTCAAATCAGCCTTTCTCTAGAAGTAGATAAAATGAGTGCCACCGCTTGGTAATAATTTTTACTGCCCTCAGACAAAATCTAAAGAACAGGTATAAGGGATTGTCCATGTGAAAAACAAAAACAAAACAACAGACTTTATGTATGGCTCTGTTTATCCTTTAGGAAAGCACTACACACAATTAAAGGACCCATTCATTCTTGTGATGTTAAAACGTACCACTTCCACCGAAGAGCTGTTCTTGTAATGACTACACTGTCTGTAATATTTATTCACATTAATTCTATTTTCTAACTTCAAAGAGTGTCTATTTTCACAAACGTGACTAACTAGATTTAATGTCTTAATGCCTGCCTGTGTTGTCTCCACTCTGCACTTATTAAAGGCTCCCAAATGTATGCCATGTAGGCAAAGCTAGTCTATATTGCTACAAAGCGGATGGTTTGTTCAGGATTAGGGAAATTATAGTCCATGAAACAGTCCCATATCAGTAAAACTTCCAGAACATATTGTACATTTTATGGACAGCATCCGACAAATAAAGAAAACACAGAAGATGGCAAAATGAACGTGTAATAGTATAGACGATAAAATAGTCACTAACATTCTTAGTCTCTGGATTGCCGTGTTGGCATTCACCAACATGACCATCCTAGGACGGAAGGAGAGTAAGGGGTTAAAGGAAGAGAGCGTGAGCTTGGGACAGAGATGCAACATCTGGAACAGTTTAAGTGTCTGGGAGGATTTTTTGGCCCAAGTCTGCGCTCCTTCCACATGGTGGGCGCTGAATGCAGAGCCCCCAGCCCCTAGCCCCTTAACCCCTCCTCTCCAACTTCCTGCAAAGCCACAACTGTGCTCCCGAGGCTCAGAGCATTCACTGCCACGTCACAGCAAACTGGATATCCCCGAGCTCAGACTGCTGGTTCTCCCTTGTGCACTACTCGGTCGGAGAATGAACCCCGGATGCTGCAGAAATACCCCCTCCCGGTAAGCAATAGCTTGATTTACAGGAGGGTAAAAATCAAGACAGACGTATGGGTTAACCCTTGACAAGACAGCCTGGGAAGGACCACAAAGACAGAGGAAACCCGCCGAGGTGAGATCAAAGAAGGAAAAGTCGGGAATTTGGTGGTGGACATAGTCAGAGAAGGTATCAGCTGTATATTAAGGCAAAGAGTGGTGGTAAGGAAGCCAATAGTATGCATTGGGGAGGATGCTTTAAAATTAGCTTTTTTTACTGAATGGAAGCTGTATATTAAGGTTTAGAATTAGGAAAATGTTGTTTGCACCTCAGGATACACTGGGAGCAACATTAAGCCAATGAAGGCCAATTGCTCTGGACTATATGCTTGGAGGGTAATATTAGAGAAGTCCCTTTGGAGTTCTCAGGGGAAACACGATGTGTGCAAGGGATGTTATGGAGATTATTTTGTGAGATGGGTTTAAATAAATAAATAAAAACCTCCAAACTTTGATTTTCAAACACTGTAATTGGCAGGGGGTGGTGATGACTTTCTGATAACTATACAATTACAGATACTATACTCCAGCTGAAATGAATAATGGAGTCCGAAGGATTGTGAAGATATCGGTCTGTGATGGGAGGCTGGAAATGATGGAGAAGGACCCTGAAAGATTTTTCCAAAATGGCTGGCCCAGTTCTCCCAGTGTTCAGACTACGTGTTCGTTGGACAGAACCTGAACAGTAGTCTACACACTGGTTAAACTGGGACGGACAGCGGCAAAGATCAACACTGCAAGCTCTCTTGCATGCAAACGTTTACAAAAATAAAAAGAACACAGCGTTGGAATGGGAAGACTAAATTGTAAGCATGCTATGAGCCAGATGGGTAAGCATGCTATTAGCCAAGGGTTAAGTATGCAGAGGTCACATCTCTGTTGCAAGCTGTATGGCCATTTACTCATTAAATTATAATCTACTCGTCTTGCTGTAAAATGCACCTTCGCAACAACTAAATAACACCCCCTAGCCCCCGCATGCATTTTTATAAACCGCTTCCTTCCTTACGTCTACTTACATAAGTCGTACAGTTTTACAGATTCCTTTCGCCAACCCCCTTAGAGTAACCTCTCTCACCTTCTCTTCTATATTTTCTTTTGCCTGCTCCCCCACCCTTTATTCCCAACTTCCTCCTCTCCATAAGTTTTTCCATATGTTGGAACTAGTTGTATGGATAGACTGTTTCTGTGTACGTTTCTTGGCAAATACGGTTTTTACGGTCCTTCCCACATTCATGGAATAAAAAAAAATAAAAAAAAGTTTAAAAAATTAAATAAAATGTTGTAAATATCTTACCTCATCGTCTTTGTACCAGGACAAGGACTCTGCTGTAAGCACAAACCAATATTCTTTTGATCCTCCTTTCATGATGCTAATGTTATTTATCGTTAACCAGCCCCTCCGGATGACCTGCAAGGAGACAAAAGGGGGGTAGAAAGGTGGAAGATGGGGGAAGACAAAAAGGAGCAACACACACAGGAGCCACCACTGCTAAATACATTTTGCAGACAGCAAAGATATCCAAAGATGTCAAGTTCTTTATTCTGCCACAAGTACCAATGTTACGGCCAAATGAGCTTTCCTTGAGACACTGCAACTTGTGCGGTCATAAACCTTCCCTTTTACACAGGACTGCTTGTTAAAGACGTGGCAGGAGACATGCTCTCAGCCAAGTGTTCAGGGAAGATTGATCCTCACTATGGATCACTATGGGTTTTATGGAAAAGGCAGGGGTAGGTTTTAAAGTCATCTATCAGAATGTGCGATTGTCAGATATCCAATTTTAGGGAATACAGACAAATGAAGGGGATATGCATTAAAAAAAAGTTAATCCAGCTAAAAATAATAATTGTGTTTTCATGAAATGGTTGAGGTCCCTCCTACCTCCCACATAGGAGAGAGGGGGAAAGGGAGGGGACAACTTTACCTTTTTTCCTGCGCTGAAGTAAAGTTCTCCCTCAGCCCAATCTTTCTCTGCTGATGTCATCCCCCCTGGTCAGGGAGGTGGGCTGAAGGAAGGACATGGGTGACACGCTGTGTGTGTGTTGGACACCAATTTTGCACAGAATTAACATTAGCCAACATGGAACTTTGTTCTGGGTTGGCTAATGATGCTGCAGGAGATGCGTTACACCTGCGGCAGTTAAGTCATTAATCTCTATATGCAGTATTTCATAGCGAAACGATGCACAGACAGACTCCAGGCACCGCAATCACCTCAGTGGTCATGTGCCTGGAGTAACCCTTTATTTCCCTCCCTCTTCCCTTTACAATATCCACTCTAAAGATTGCTGCACAGGAAGCAGCTGAGGGGTTAGGAGAATTTACTCTACAACAGAAGACATCTCAGTATCTGCTATATGCCAACATTAGCAAGTCATGTCTATTATTCCCTCCTTTTCTAATGGGGACTGATCCGGTATTTGAAAAAAGGGACACAAATTAGAGGCTCCCCGCTGTCCTACAGATAAGGATATAGATTATATATAAAATGTATTTAATGGATCTGGAGGGCCAAGTATAAAAGGTCAGTTTTGGCAAAGCTTTACACTGCCAATGCTGTTAAACAAATGGATACGTAGTCCATATGTAGGCTGACTTAGAAACATGAAAAACTAATTCAACATCTGCATTTCCAAAGGAAGAAGTTATTACAGTATGATCCTGCCAAAAGAAAATTAAACTCAGCAACTCTTCGAGAAGCTAATCAACTCACATAGTTTAAAATATTAATCTCGCACACAAAGTAGATATACATGAACACAAACCATGTAAGTTATGGTGGAGGAAAAAAAAAGGATTGAAAATCCCTCCCACCTGAAGGCAGTGGATAGTCAATGTATTGTTAGACACAGATCTGCACACCAGTTAAGCCATAAAATTAGCTTTTCTCATAGAAATCTTGCATTTGCAGCGCTGTTGCTACTGTAAGGGATTCTGGGTGGGCTTATGCAAATGAGTTCAACAAAGAACCACCTTTAAGCCTCATTATTCCATTTTCAACATGGATTCCTTGGAGTATATGTCTGCTGTATACAACGGCTGTGCAAAACAACTCAGGAAGAGATGCAAAGCCAGGTAGATATCCACTCTAACCACTAAAAGCACTGCAAATGGTATGTGCAGATCCGTGTTAATGTATTTAATATACATATACACACACACACTTATTTTTTTTCTTATACATACATACACTGTGTGCGGTTAATATTTTAAAACTAGCAGAGATTAATATATATAACATGTGTATATGTATATATATATATATATATATATATATATATATATATATATATATATATATATAAATTAATGTCTGATTTGTCAGAATTTAAAATTTTAGGACAGAATTGCTTCTGTCTTAAGTTTGAGATAATTAGCATTTTGGTGAATAATTCATTTTCTCTTATGAAGCGTGACTTACATATCAATTTTCAGTGAGAATAATATACTACTTTAAGAAGCTGATCTGACAAATTTGCAGTGAACAACTAGTGACGAATTCTGATAGGGAACGTACGGGCTTCGTACAGAAGTTTCCCCTTACAGAAACTCAGAAATTGTTTACATGTGCAATTAAATACATTTAGAACACACATCCTATTCTACAGGCACTGAATTAGGAATCAGGTGACATTACCCTAAACCCCCTCCCAACCCCCCCCCACCCCCCAAAAAAACCACCCCCACCCCCAGAAAAATAAAAAAAATAAACACAGGCAACCACCCTCCCTCCCCCCCTTCCCAAGAACAGAACAGATACAAACCACAGTCATAGATCGAGCGTCAATGTCTTTTGTGGAGGGGGGAGGGAGGAAAAATAGTGAGCGGGCAGGGATTTGAAAAAAAAAATCATAAGAGATCTGTAGCAGACTGCTTTTGAAAACCCCAAAACCAGTGCTAGGTTTACATCCAAACTTGTGTGCAACAACATTCAGTAAGAGCGTGGGGATTAATTCTTAACAGTCAGTGAGAGAGAGGGAGGGATACAAATAAAACTTCAAAACTTTGAATCTTGTTATACCCTACACCAGACATGACCAAATGCCAGAGAAGCTGTGTGTTAAAGGCCGATTGAAGTTATGATCAAATAAAACTACCTAAAGTCACCGAAAGGAAACCAGACTTCCGCAAAGACGTCCAACTGACACAAACTGCAACAATTTGTGACGTGATTCAACAACTATCCTAAACAGATTCTTTGGTTGAGTTATGGCAGTTGTTTTAAAAAGATTACTGGACAGAAACAATAAATGCATTATAAAATTAAATCTACAGCATTTTAGCTTTTATCAAAACAAAACCTTTTGAGGACTACACTTTAAAAAAAAAAAAAAAAAAGGTCTTTGCTAAAAGTTGGTTTAATTTTTGTGACCAAACTATTGGTTACTCACATTTAGCGGGTACTTACCAAAATCTCTCCCTGAATACAGATTAAGGAGTGGCAAGATTAAGGTAATGCAGAAGAATACAGGAGAGGAACAGGACATTATTTGGGGAGAGGGATTTTATGACCAAAATAAGAAAACAAACGTTAAGGGGTGGGCGGGGAGGGGAGGGAGAAAAAGAAAGAAAGAAAAAAAATGGATGGTAACGAGCAAACATGAAATGAAAGAGAAGCAGAAAAGGAAGAAGGGACAAAAATTACATGCAATTAATAAAACAGTTAATATTAAAATTCCCCATTAACACTTGAGATGCCAGATGGGTTAGATATAACCTCGTGCTAAGCAATCTTTCTGGCACTCAAAGGCATTAAAAACCCAATATAGAGGAAAAAAAGAGTCAGTTGCAAATGAATTCCAATACATGCCAATTTAATTATTAAAAAGCATGCTGTGCAGAGAATGCAGCGTGGCTTTAAGAGCTTCTGTAACAGAAGGTCAGTGACAGGAGAGAAGAGGAGCGAAAGAATATGCCATAGATCTATAATTCACAGAAAATGTAACTTGTGCCAGTTCACAGGCCTTCTGATCATATGAAAGGATTCTAGAGGAGGTTGAGGCACTATATCTATTGCCCAGGATTTGCTATCAATCAAAGGACGGGAATTAAGAAAGCAGGACAATACAAGCGGTTCTAGGTCCCACTTAACCTGCCGGTTGCTCTTATTGTATCCAGGGCTTGTCTAGTACCTTGCACAACTAAAGATCTGGCTAGTAGAGGCTTTTAGTGAGGCCCCTCGTATGGAGAGCGACAGGCTCTAATGCCACAGCGTTAGAACATCAGTGACTGACACAAATGATAGGAACTAAGCAAGGACTTTATGCTAGGTGAAAGGGAGGTAAGTGTCACAGGAGACCAGAGGGTCTAAGGAGGGTTTACCTGGTTAGGAATGGCTCTCTTCTTGTTAAGCTGTGTGCTCCTCTGTTGTGCACTAGAAAAAGAAAGGAGGTACACACTCAGGCTCTGTTCTAGATTACATAACCCTGCTGTATACTGTAACTGGAAGGAGAACAAGGAGGTACACACTCAGGCTCTGTTCTAGATTACATAACCCTGCTGTATACTGTAACTGGAAGGAGAACAAGGAGGTACACACTCAGGCTCTGTTCTAGATCACATAACCCTGCTGTATACTGTAACTGGAAGGAGAACAAGGAGGTACACACTCAGGCTCTGTTCTAGATCACATAACCCTGCTGTATACTGTAACTGGAAGGAGAACAAGGAGGTACACACTCAGGCTCTGTTCTAGATTACATAACCCTGCTGTATACT